TGACATCCAAGTTTGACTCCGTGATAGTATTTTGGGCTTGGTCCTTAAAGAGTTGATAATTAATTTTTTTTTTTTTTGTCAACAGGCAATTAAAAGAGCTGATAATGACTAGTCTCTCTCTTCATGTCACAGACGGTCTACCAAAATTTAAACTTTGAGCGCCAATCAAATCTCCCGCCACTGTTCAAACAATACCAAAAGCTTCTCTTTCACGATTCACATCCAGCAATTCAAAATTTACAACACAGTTGGCTCCTCGAACCTTCAATTCTCTTCCTTACCAAACATACCCTTCCTCATCTCTTTATTCCCTCCACATCAATCCCACAGTACAAACCTAACCACAAGGCTATTATAGTTATTATACAAAACATAAATGAATTCCCTAAAGAGCCCTCCAGTTCTTTCTCCCGCAAGCTTCGTCCCCAAAATTTTGAATTTCCCCGCTAGTCTTTTAAAACCCTAACCCTATATAAACCACTCATCACCTTCAATCCTAAACATCAATAATCAATTTGTCTGCAAAGCCCCCCAATTTCTTTCACATTTTAATACAACCCCTCTAAGATGCCTTCTATTCCAACAGAGCCCCTTCTGGCCCCAAACCCAGATCGATTCTGTATGTTCCCAATTCAATACCCACAGATCTGGGAAATGTACAAGAAAGCCGAGGCCTCCTTCTGGACAGCCGAGGAGGTCGACCTCTCCGGCGACGTCCGCCACTGGGACGAAATCCTAACCGCAGACGAGAAGCACTTCATCACCCACGTTCTCGCCTTCTTCGCCGCCTCCGACGGCATCGTCCTGGAGAATCTCGCCGGAAGATTCATGAAGGAGGTCCAGGTCGCCGAGGCTAGGGCTTTCTACGGCTTCCAGATCGCCATCGAGAACATCCACTCCGAAATGTACAGTCTCCTGCTCGAGTCCTACATCAAAGACTCGGCCGAGAAGAACCGACTCTTCCACGCGATCGACACCATCCCTTGTGTGCAAAAGAAGGCCAATTGGGCCCTCAGATGGATCGACGGATCGGAATCGTTCGCCGAGAGGATCATCGCCTTCGCGTGCGTGGAGGGCATCTTCTTCTCCGGCAGCTTCTGCGCGATCTTCTGGCTGAAGAAGCGCGGGCTGATGCCGGGACTCACCTTCTCGAACGAGTTGATCTCCCGAGACGAGGGGCTGCACTGTGACTTCGCGTGTTTGCTGTACGAGTTACTGACTCAGAAGCTGAGTGAGGAGCGAGTCAGGGGAATCGTGTCGGACGCGGTGGAGATAGAAAGGGAGTTCGTGTGCGACGCGTTGCCGTGCGCCCTGGTGGGAATGAACGGTGATCTGATGGGCCAGTACATCGAGTTTGTGGCTGATAGGCTGTTGGGTGCGCTAGGGTATGGCAAGATGTACAATGCTCAGAACCCGTTTGATTGGATGGAGCTGATCAGTCTTCAGGGGAAGACTAATTTCTTTGAGAAGAGGGTTGGAGAGTATCAGAAGGCTTCTGTGATGAATAGTTTGAATGGGAATGGTGGAGACTCCCATGTGTTCAAGCTGGATGAAGATTTCTGATTTTCTAATTTTTTTTTTTTAATTTTTTTATAATGTGAAAATTATGTTCTGTTTTTTCTGTTTTTATTTTTGATCCTATCAATAGAGGCTTACTGGATTTTGATAATGGTTTTTTTTTTTTTTTTTTTGAAAAGCAATTTGATCAAAAATTCCTATTTTGATAAACAAGATTAAAACATAATTTTGATCATTTTAAAGATCGTCCCAAAGTCGTAATTGGTCTTTTATGCTCTCAAGTTACCTTAACCTAGATATGTGATTTAGTCTCGGTGTGCTTTTCGCTGGACTTCATCTCTACTGTTGTGGTTGTAAACACACGACTTGACTTTGTCACACATTACATCCCAATTTTTTTTGAAAGAATTTGCTAACACGTGACTTATAATTCTAACAGTCTTCATTGTTTTCAAGTTCCTAGTCAAACTTCAATCAGTACAGAGGTTTAAAGACACCAAATCAGTTTCCTTTCGATGAACAAATGAAGTTTATAAGCAATTCAAGTTGCCTAGAAGTACATAAATACTGTACAAGGAAAAGTCAATTAGTAAAAGTTTCCAAACACTGCACATACTAGGAGTGAAGAACAACATCCTAAGCATTAGGATGAAAATATATCCCTCAAGCTGAAATCTTTGGCCACTCAGGAACAATTTCACTCATGAAAGTTGAAGTTAAATCCATGGTTATCAATTTCACTCAGGAGGGGGTGAGGAGTGAGGACTACCAGCTTCTGAAATTTTAAATGTTTTTTGTTGGTGACTAGTAGATTGATTAATACCTGTGTTCATTTTGCAGGCAAGACATTTTTCTTTTCTTGAGCACATCATGGTTTAGTAACTTTTTATTTAAATTGTCTCTCTTTATCTCCCTTCATTCAGGAAAGCCCTGGTTTATCTTTTTGACAAAATTGAGCGGGGAAAAATGGAAGAAGGAAAAAAGCTATCAGATCGGATTATTGAAATCCACAAAAGCCGGTATGCATGTGAATGTGAACACAACTTTATCTACAGCCTTTGGATAAAATGTGATGTAAGCATTTATTAATGTACTTGTGGTTTTCTTTGGGTTGGATGGATATCCAGACTACCATTCCCAAAAAGATTGTTTCATCTGTACATTAGGTTGCTATTACCTTTTTTTCTCTCTCCTTTTTTTTTTTTTTTTTTAGTGATGAGAACTTATATCTCTATCAGCATAGTACAGAATTATCATAAAATTTCATTGGAAATTTCCCATATGAGGCTCATACTGTGGTGAGCATCGCATCATGGTTTATGATGCATATGAATAGGCTATAAGTTGACACTGATATGCAAACCGTTCCTTTTTTTGTTCTATTAGCCTTTATTATCAGTGATGTTTTCGCCCTTTGTTTGCCTGTTGTAGTTGGGGAAAGACTCTTTCCACCATTTGATTTCGCAATCAATTTCAAAAGAGAGAAGAAGTTTGGACTTGGATAGCTAGGGATGATCAGTCCTTACCTTTTAGACTTTTTTTTTTCATTCTTCTTTCTTTTCATAGGTAATTTTACCCAACCTATAGCCTAGACCAGAGGTTAAGTTGCACCCAATTGACAATGGTTATTTTGCATGAAGCACATGTAATGCAGGTTCCATAAAGGAAAACAGTGCGGTGTTTTAATCCATTTCCATGTTTTTTTTTTCCTTTCATAGTTGGTATTCACACACACGTGCCTCCATTAAGGCTTGAACCACTGACCTCCATTTGAGAAGTAAAGGGCTGATACCGATAATCTATTTCCATAACTTGTTCTAAATGTTAGAGTTTGAAGAACCACAAACTGTGTATTGTTGCTAAATTTGGCCCTTTCTTTCTTTCTATCATTGGTTGCACAGGCAAGGGTCACCGGCGGAAGAGAAAAGGCCCTATTACAGGAACAAAAGGCACGGATCGATTTGGTTCAGAAGAGGCATTTTATGTTAACCCTTTACCAGATTGTTTATGTCAGAAAGAAACACCAAATATGAATACTTGTCTAATTATCAAGTAGATTAGTAGACTTGGCAAAACAAATTCCTTTGATAAAATATCCCCTTGTTGCTGGGTTGGTGGCATGTTTCATTTTCTATAATTTACTGAAGCTTGAGCTAATAATGCCGCCATTACCAGAGTTGGGATTGAGGGTTGTGTATATCTTGAGACTAATTTACTCGGGAATTCTATACGGAAAGATTAAACGGATTGCATCAGGGTGAGGAAGGACATGGGTTGATTGAGACAAAGCGACGACTCAATTCTATCACGAAAGGCTTTTTTTGGACTGAGAAGTTGCTCAAGTGCAAGAGGCGATTCATTGGGTGATACAATACTGCATTGGTGCAGTTGTTACAATAATGTGCTCTATAGGGATGCATATGTTTCGTTCATGGACATTCAATGCAATCGTGGAGAGAAGTGATTCACTTCGCTCCATTCTCAATTCATATAATAATATACTCGATCTCATGGAAACTCATACTTCCTTAGTATTGGTATAGATTTCAGTTTAAATAGTGGAATTCTGTGTACAGTACAATGATTTTATTGCAGGACAATTGGTCCATTACTTGGGGGCTATTTGAGACACAAAGTAGGGGGAGAGGCAAAAAGTCTGAGTCATAAATAGAGAACTATTTATGATGGTGCAATTACCCCTTGAATATTTATTTATTTCCTATTCTTTTACTTTTTTTATTTTTTATTTTTCTTCGTGAAAAACTTAACCAACTAATGAATGCAAATAAAAATTGCAAATAATGAGCATTGGATGGTATTATATCAAATCTACATGAAAATATCTATTTATTATTTATTTTGTTTTAGTTTTTGACAAATAAATTACCCATACACGTTGTAAAAAAAAAAAAAAAGAATTTTTTTTTACATATACATGTACACATTCATTTAGTCTTTAGAATCTTTAGACAACTTTTTTTTTGAAACATTAAACAAATTTACACATGATTTTATGAGGCTTGAATTCTGACCTTCTCAAAGTAGACAATTCAACACGTTTTTTACAAGACCATTTAGTTTTGCAACCCTCTAAGACTTCGTTAGAATATTATCTCTTAATTTTTAAAATTCAAAACAATTGTCTAAGATTTTTGTTTTTTTTTTCCGTAGGCAATAGTTTTGAATGCTAATATTTAAAATTGATGTCATTTGGATTTAAGAAAAAAATCCAATGAATATTTATTATCTGATAACACTGTTTCATATTGATCTCCGCGAGGTTTCAAGTTGAAATATATAATATTTTCCTGAAATAAAAAGCCAAAGTTGAGATGGCCGAGTTGGTCTAAGGCGCCAGATTAAGGTTCTGGTCCGAAAGGGCGTGGGTTCAAATCCCACTCTCAACAATTAGTTAATTTTTTAAAAAATATTTATAAAATTTTATTTTCCCTTTAAAATTAAAATTTTGTTCTCTACGTCCGCTTTCCAGACAAACAATGCAGCAGGACACAAATCTAACGAAGAAACCAAACCCTAACCCTAGCAATACCACGAAGGACAAGCAAAGTAAGAAGAAGAAGAAGAAGGATGAATTCGAGTTCTGCAAAGTCTGCAAACTGAATCACGACCAAGGTCGACGCCATAACTACTTTCCGAGCCACACCAAATCACTCTCCGCCTACCTCTCCCGATTCCAGACCAAACTCTCCGACGTCCGCTTCTTCCTCAAAAACCCTAGCCTCCTCCGCCCAGAACACGCCTCTCGCAATCGACTCTGGTGCGTCTTCTGCGATTTTGACATCGACGAGCTCACTAGCTCCTTCGCTTGGTAACTAAATTTTCACACCTCTTACCGTTTCAATTTCGATCCATTTGGTTGCTGAGAAAATTTAGGAAAGGAAAAAAGAATTTGAAATGTTTAACAAGAATTTTCTATTGTAGTTAGTAGAGGTTTTTTTTATTTATAAAAAAAAGACTGAACAATGTTTGTCAAGAATTTTATGTGGAAATCAATCCTGTTGTTCTTAGCAGAGTTGAAATTCTCCTTTTTCCGGAATAATACATAAGGCAAAACATTGGATACCGAGATTTATATATTTTTGTTGTTGTTTTTGGGTTTCATCTGAAGCAAAACAGAGGGTTTATGGCTTTGGTTTTCAATTTTTATACTATTGTTGTTTTGGGATTCTTGTTTTGAATTGTGTTAATAGTGGTAATGCTATAAATCATCTGGCAAGTGAGGATCATTTGAAGAATTTGAAGAGATTTTTGTGGAAGTATGGCGGTGGGATGGATCGCTTGGATGCTTTAAGGATTTCTGATGTGGATCTTGCTAAGGTACTTTTCTCTTTTTTGTGTCTTTTAATGCGTAATTTACTTCTTTTGAATGTATTATATGTGCTGGTTGGTTATGACAGGAGATTGTTTCAAACTAGTGTCTTCTATAAACTAAGATAAGTGAGTAGAGAATTATTGACATGAACAGTGGGCATACTAGAGAATAATTGACATGAACAGTGGGCATAGTAGCATTCAAATATCAGCTCTTGTTCTTCTAATTTATCACTGCACCACACTTAATAACTTACAGACTTATTCCTGTCCATCTGTGTGTGAGAGGTCGTAATGGCTGCAAAAATAGCAACTTCTAGAGTTGGGATGCATTTGGCTTCAATTTGTACCATCGTGCTTTACACTGACATAGTGACATACACTGGCCAACTTTCTAGGAGTTAAAGAAAAACATAGCATTTGAATTACATGAAACACAATAGAAGTGCGATCTGAATTTTTTTGAACTCGTTAGATACCATGAAAATATTAATCATAAACGGCCTTATTTAGCAGGTGTTGTTTTCTTGTTGTTGACAATTGGCTATGTAGACATCTAGAAATTACGTTTTTTTCATTATAGTCAAAAGCCTCTTTCAACAGTTTTTAAGTGGCTTTGCTTTGGGGAAAAAACAGAAGCTTTTTAGAGCCTGTCAAATTTTTTTAGTTATAGATGCTTTTCTGATTGGATGGTGACAGATTGTAAAAAGGTTTTCTGTTCAACAAAGGTCTTTTGTATATGCAAGTGTTTCATATTTTTGTATATGTAAGTGTTACATATTCTTAGGATTTTTGTAAGAGATACTTGGTACTTTTCATTCTCGATAATTGCATTTTGGATGACAATGTTTATACTTCAGAGCACAGCCACTTTGTACGAGTTTAATTCCCTGCACGTGACATTGTCAGCTTAGTTTGTTTTTTTATTTTTTTATTTTCTCTAACACAATTGTCCTTTATCCTAAGAAGTATTACTCAGTGTGTGTGAAAAAAAATATAATAGGTAACATTAACTCTCTCTCTCTCTCTCCATTACTAGATGTCTTGATACAAGTTCAGCTGCTGTATAAATATTATTTGCGGCATATATATGCTTTATTTTATTTTTCTCATGTAGAAATAAGTTTATTTGCTTATAAGTTATAACTGGAATTCATATATAAACTAAGCGTGACTTATTGTTTCTGTGCATATATATACACATCCACACACATGCTTGTGGGTACAAATTGTTCTGGCATATTGGCTTACTTAAGCATTTGAGATAAAGGTAAGGTTGATGATGAAATTATAATGGCATATGTTTTTGTTAACTATATTGATACTTTTAGAATCTCTACTCATTGAAATAAATATTATTTCTTTAGATAGTTCTGTCACATTATTTACCAGTTTTCATGTATTTGTGGTTGCAGTGGGAGAAAAAGTGCAAATCATTGAAGATTGGAGCTGCTACTGAAGGATCTCATGGACCTAATATTGGACCTTCAAATGATATCCGCAATGAACTGAGCTCTGAATATATAGATACTTTTGACAAAAATAATATCCTTTCTCTTAAATCAAGCTTTTCAAATGGTGTTTTGCCTTTACAAAATTATACGAATGAGAGATATCAGGTATCCCATTCAGAACTATCTGAAGTCGGAGAGGTTGGCCCTCTTCTACATGATGATATCATACATGTACATGTGGACGCACAATTGGGTACAAATCCATGGGGTTTAAAAGATGTAACAGGTGTGTGCATATTCTGAAAACCTCATATCTTACTATTAATGTTTAAGTTGTTGTGAAGGTTCATGTGGAGCAAGACTACTTGCACTGACATTTTGGTGCTTGTATTGTGATTCAGGTTACATGGATGGCCAACACTCTCTCCTTTATGATGGTAGGACATCCTCAGCTGATGGTTTTAGTAATGGAGGGGTAAGTTTGCTCATCCACATAATCTCCAAATTATTTGTTTTTGGTTCTGGTCCCTGGTTATATTATTATTATTATTTCTTATTCAGATTTTATTTGGAAATATTTTTGTTTGGATAGAACTTTTCAAATGAGGTAGTTATTTGATTATAGACTTGCTAGAGACTTAATTAAGGTGAGATGCCCTGTTTTGTAGGAAAGGATATGAATTTGAAAAAAAAAAGTTTTTATTTCTTCTTCTTAATATTTTTTTTTTTTCCAATCAAGGTAGCCAATGGGGAAAGTGATTCACTAAAGGGAGAGCATAGATTTTAGGACTCACCTCTTGTTGAAGGCTATTTCCTTCGGCCATATTTTTACCTCATTGCCTTTCATGAAGAAATTGATGTCATCCAGGTCATGAACCAGCCATATTATAGTGTGTGTTCCATTTATCAAAAAAAATATTATAATGTGTGTTCCGTAAGCCAACAAACTGTGTGTTTCTTTTTGTTCTGATTTTCAAGAGGCAACAATAGTCAGTTACAACACTTATGTGATGGTCGAAATATGTGCTTCTTTTGGAAGGTTGAGATTTATGTTTTGATGTCTTCTAGAAAAACTGTCTTTGCATTGAACATCAGCAGATATGGAAATGTTCGTTTAAATTTAAGTAAATGAAAATTTTAAATAAAACATTTTTTAATTCAACCGTGATTCATAAAATTTGAGTTTGTTTTTATATTATTGCTGCTTCTGGGGTGGGATGAAGTTGTAAAAGTTTATGAAAATTTTCAGAAGTTATGAAAAATTGCTTTTGATTGGATTGGACAGAAAGTTATTTGCTTTCACTCAGTATTTGCAGGCTGTATTTCTCTCTTCATTTAGTCCTTGTTTACCAATTGAAAATGCTCAAGTGCGCCTTTAAATGCTTTGTGGTGGTTTACAGCTAATAGTAGCCCAAGTAACCTAAATGTTTGGGATAGATTAAGCTAGAGAAAGTATGTGGTGCATGGTGGGCGCCCTCAATATTACATATATCTATCTTTTTCTAGAGTTTGTATAAGCTAGTGTTGTGTTGGAATTTGGTGGTTGGCTTTTTGTGAATAGGTTTGCTTTTTGGTTAAACGAATATTGATTAATAATAAAAAAGGGTGAAGAATTGTACAATGACTTTCTTAGTTGAGATTGAAATCTTTCCAAGTTGCATGGACGTGGTTTGGTGCCTGGCTCCTTCTCAGGGATTCCCCTTGCCTTTTAGATTGCATTGGGTGGAAACAACCTTTTTAAGAGCTTTTTAAAAACAGTAGAGTCTGATGGATGTTGCACCTAGCTTTTGCTTAAATATACAAGGTTGCGGAATTGACTATTTGGAGAATCTCTTAGTACAGGCCTTTGCAACCCTAGATAGGACATTTGTTTCAGAATGTTTTCTATTGTCTCATTTAATTGATCCTTGTGCATTCTACTGATGTATCTCCACTTGTTCTCTATTTTGAAAGACGCGTTGCATTGAAGGTTGCATTTTTGTATAGACACTTAGAGAATGACCTCTCTCGGTTGTATGTTTCTTTGCCTTCTTTTTTTTTTTTTTTTTTCCACTTGCATTCTACTGGTAATCACATTTTGACACAAGGTTGGGAATGTACGGGAACTTGAACTAAGGACACAAGTCTTAATGGAAATCTAAAACGTGGCAGGCACAGTTCAAGTAACATAGACATTGACTTAATGTCTGGTCTTAAACCAGGGATTTCTTCTCTTTGTTGGCGTCTTCTTTTTTACTCTTACGGGCTTATAGGCTCGTAATTTGTGGGTGGTAGTATTTTGACTTGACAAGATTCACTGGGATTTTAGAGGCTATATGGATTATGGAGCACTGGTGGCCTCTCCTGTGAGGGAGGATATGACCATGTACTTGCACATTTTTGTCCGAAGAACTTGTCTTCTGGCAGTTAAGCTGGGGATTTGACAATTGGTTTTAAGTCTGTTAGAAAGTTGTTAATGTATTATTTTGGCTTAAAAACTTGTTTCTGGACATTTTCTGGAAATTTGATTGGCCCTAAAACCTTTAGCAAAAACTGTGTGTGTGTTACGAGTGTCTATTAGTTCTGTAGTTTTGTTTGTGATATTCTCATAATTGTCTGCTCTGTATCTCAATGAAAATTGTTCACTAATTCTGCCAAATTGGTAGGGTGATTTATTGGTACAATGGTATAAGTTGAACTGATAGGTATGAAGACACAGGTTCAAGACTGAAACATTCACTTTGTGCAAATTAATGACAAATGTTAGACATGGCTCTAATTTATCCCTCACAGCACGCATTCAATTGTTGCTCTTCAGATAGAGAAGTTTCTGTTTGTGTCATTTTTGTTTTCTTTGTTTCATCGTCATAAAAAAATTGACAACAATTTATTATGCTCCATATAACTCATGTTATGAATTTCGTAAATTATTCACTTGAGTGCTTGAGATAGGTTTAAGCTTTAAATTTTCATCATTTCAGAATACCTGCATGCAAAATGGTGCAACGGATTGCATATAGCATGAACAACACAGTTAAGAATGGAGTGTTGTAAAAGCTACTTATGATGGAAGTACAATTTTTGATGCTTGAAAAGAACTGCTTTCCTGAGCCCAATATGGCTCTGTTATACGAAAAAGTTTTTCTAAAAGAAGAATAATAAAATAAAACATAGTAAAAAGAAGCCTAAAAAAGCCAACACGACTTTTCTAAAATCCTAAAAAGATAATAAACATGAAAAATGTTTTACCAGTGATGAAGATAAGAACAAGAAAGCCTAATCTTATATATCAGCTTAACAGTGCAAAGTGTTATAAATTTGTTGTGTGATGTTGACATTAAAAAGTCAATTCTTTACATTTCTTTCTTTGTCTCTTTGCTTTCCTGTGGTTCAATATGGCTTCCTATATTCCTTCAGATTCTTAGTTTGCTTTGTTTGATTTTCAATTTTATAATGGGATTAGATCAAACATTTTATTCTGTTCATATAAATTCATTGTTAAACCATTGGCAAACATTTAATGTCTGTGGTATAGCTGTACCAGGTCTGTCAAGATGGAAGAACAATTAATGGAGGAAGCATTTGTCAGGGTATACAAGTTTGACTACTGCAATTTGGTTTTTGTTTCTTATCTAAATTTCTACTTCAATGCTAATTTCTCTGAAGCAGCATGGTTCATAATTTGGTGAAATTGTTTTATGGAATGCAATTTCAGACATCATTTGCTGTAAAACCCATATAGGTATATGGGCAGTGTAGTGCTAAAGAAGATCGATATGGTGGATTTGTTTCACATGCATTGCTTATCTGAGATCTTCTATTATTTTCAGGTTTGCACGCCATCACTCAAATTTCATCCACTGTTCGTGAAGATGGTAAAGGAAATGTGCATTCTGGAGCACCTCCTCCTTGGTTCAACGCAACTGAAGCAAATCCACTAAATGTTGGACTAAAACCAGGGTTAGGACTGAGTACTGTTGCCTCTCCTCTCAGTAAACCTGGGAAGTCCCAGAAATTGAACCCGAAACGGGTGGGAGCTGCTTGGGCAGAGAAGAGAAAGATTGAACTGGAGATGGAAAGGAGAGGAGAGTGTATCACCAATAATTTTGATGCTAACTGGCTCCCTAATTTTGGTAGAGTTTGGCAATCAGGTAGCCGAAAGGAATCTAGAAAAGAATTTGAGGTGGAGGACAAAAAACCGCTAAAGGTTGAAACTGAAACTGAGACATCAATCAAGTTACAGCCTTACATAAGCAAACGAATGGTAAACCTTGAATCCCCATGTACCATGTTATAAAGTTTTTATTTTTCTTCGTTATTTTAAAGAGATTAGATTATGGCTTTTGATATATAATCTCATTTTACAATTGTGTGCCGGGATGGTGATTCGTTTTTCATATGTATTCCTTCATTTATCTCCTATGGTTGATATAGAGCTTGCAATTTCTGGTCTATCCTTATTATGATACAACGTGTTCATGCAAGCAGTGCAAGGAGTAACTTAAAATGAGTAGCATTACCATCAATTTAGAGTAGATTAGAATTAATTAGAGATATTTTGGTTCCGTGTTGTATTAAATGCAGTTCTTATGCTTCTGTAAATTTAAACTACTGTATTATTATTAGTATTAATTTTTGTAGAACTTGGGGGAAAGTATTATCATCTCCATTTTTTTTTTTCTCCGTTTTTCAGTGGTTGGGTTGCACAGACATGCGTCTGCTTTTATTATAATGCCACTACTACTACTATTAATTTCTTGTGGAACTTGGAGGAAAGTATTGTCATCTCCAATTTTTTATTTACTTTTCTGGTGGTGGGTTGTCCAGCGCATGCTTCTGCATTTACTATTACAACCTGTTACCCACTATTTCATTTGGTCTCTAACTAATGCTAACAAAATTCTATTCAATTATCTCACTAATACTGGGTATTGAGCACCCAGTATTTAGTTGCATGGTTTTGTGGAATGGACTAACTGAGGCTAACTTGTTTCCTTTGGTTATTGCAGCGAAGGGATGACGGGAAGTAGTGCTTCATTCACGAGAGAATCACTAGTAGCCTTACAAGTTTTCGATGGGGAGTAGTCATTTCATGAGAATCACTAGCAGGCTTTAAAGTTTTAGATCCCGGTGCTGCTCGAGTATGCATATATTTTTCTGTATTCGCCTTCAATTTTGATTGGAGGTCAAATGGTTCCAGAATTTTGTTAAAAGAGGCAGCTCATTGACAATCAGCTTCAAAGTCCATTCGTAAATCCGTTCTCCAGAGTATTGGACTAAAAATGCTGTCAACTTAGACGTCCACACAACGCATGTATATATATACACATTAGTGGGACATGTCAATTTTTGTTCATCGCTGTAGTGTTCTATGCTAACTCACCATTGTCATTGTATTCAGCAAACTCGTCATTAGGTGATGCATCAAAAGAACATCTGTAATGCGCTCTTTTTTTCTTTTTCTTATTTTTTATTTTTTATTTTTAGAAATAAGTCAAAATAAGTCTCTTATTTTGACTTATTTTTGCAAGCATTTTGATATTATTCAAACCGTAACAAACGTTACTAAATATTTTTGTACTTTTGCTTCGTTATATTAAGTTGGCAGAAGCAAAAAATAGGAAACAGAAACTATTACCAAACAAATCCTAAAAGAGGTGTTATTTTCGGTTTATTGTCGGACCAACATTCAAGCTACACTTATGTAAGTTTCTGCACTTGCACAAAAGCTATTGTGGTTTGAAATATGCTGCAAATTCCTTATAACACGGATATAAATGTTTTGGTTAAATGTTGTACTTTAGTGATAGCTTTCTTATCATTCAAAAAAGTTACAATGGTTACCATTATGATTATACCATATTGAAGCAAGAAAGTTTAAACATCACATCTGGCCTACATGTCAATCAGCTCAACATAAAAGAAGAAGTCAAACCCCTTTACTATGTGGCAACTTTCATCAATCCAAACCCTGATAACACGGGGCCACCACCCTAATTCATCATTAAAGCACAGCAAGTATCTTTGTAACATTACAGCAAATAGATCGAACTTCATATTCGTAGTAGTCTCAAAAATGACAAAAAAGCTCATTATTACAAACAGTGCATGAAATAAACAAAGTATACCCCACCCCCAATAACGAACTATGTAAAGCTGAAAATACAACAGGTCAAGCCATTCCTACCTACGACACTTAGAACTATGTAAAGCTGAAAAATACAAAAGGTCAATATCAATATGTGAATGTCCCATTACCTTGGGTAACCACATCTTCCAGGGTTCCACACCACTCATATGGTCCAACTACATCCAGCAAGTAGGGACCAGGGGTATCCAACATTTTCTGAATTGCAGCTCTAACATCTTCCATCTTGGTCACACGGGCAGCAGGTATATCCCATTCTTCTGCATGCTTCACCGGATCATCAAGATGAGGAACCGTACTCAGCACCATTATCTTTACCGGAAGATCCTCCCTACTGATTGTCCCCAACTCTTGGACATTCATCAGGAAACCTCTCTCACCATCAATGCACACAACAGCAGCATCAGGTCTTGCAACAGTGGCTCCGATTGCAGCAGGCAAACCAAAACCCATAAACCCCAACCCACCCGATGTCAGCAACTGCCGAGGCGCATTAAAGTTGTAAAAACGCGCAGCACACATTTCATGCTGCTCAGAACCACCAGTACTTATGATGGCATTCCCATTGGTCAACTCACCAAGAACCAGAATTGCATATTCAGGAGAAATAGCTTCTTCAAAAGTCTTGAACCTCAATGGGTTTCTAATTTTCTGCATCTTTAGCTCCTTCCTCCAAGCGGAAAAATCAAGCTTACCCTCGTCTCCTCTCCTCTCTAATATCTTATTCATATCGTAAAGAGCTAACTTCACATCTGCCCTAACCGGCCAATGTGCTTGCTTATTCTTCCCTATCTCAGCTGAATCTATATCAATATGAACAATTTTAGCCTGGCTAGCGAAAGTTTCAGGCTTTCCAATTGCACGTTCATCAAAACCTACCCCGAGGCCAAGCAACAAATCACTTTTATCTACACCATAATTAGCATAAACAGTACCGTGCTTTCCAAGCATTTGTAGGGACAGCTCATCAGAACACGGGTATGCCCCGAGACCCATCAAACTACATGCCACCGGAATCCCGGTCAGCTCCACAAATCGCCTCAACTCCTCACTTGAATTCAAACACCCACCACCCACATACAACAGAGGCCTTTTTGACTCCGATATCAACCTTAAAATCTGTTCCAATTGGGGCTCATTGAGTGGTTTTGGCAAGTTAGGCATGTAATCAGGAGGTAATTGAATGGGTTGATCCCAATTTGGAACCATCATTTGTTGTAGTATATCTTTTGGAATATTAATTAACACAGGACCTGGTCGGCCCGAAGATGCAATAAAGAAAGCTTCACGCACAATTCTAGGAATGTATTCTACATCTAAAACAAGATAATTATGCTTAGTGATCGATTGAGTTACCTCCACAATTGGGGTTTCTTGCATTCCGTCAGTGCCGATCATTCGTCTGGGGACTTGTCCGACAATAGCTACGATTGGGACGCTATCGAGCATCGCGTCAGCAAGTCCGCTGACCAGATTGGTGGCGCCGGGGGCCGAAGTGGCGATGCAGACGCCCGGGCGACCGGAGGTGCGTGCGTAGCCGTTGGCAGCGAAGACGCCACCCTGTTCGTGCCGCGGAAGGACGTTTCGGATGGTGGTGGAGCGTGTGAGGGCTTGCTGGATCTCGAATGACGTGCCGCCCGGGTAGGCGAAGACGTTGGTGACGCCTTCGCGCTCGAGGGCTTCGACGAGGACGTCGGATCCCTTTCTGTCTTCGTCCGCTGCGAATCGGGATATGAGGGTTCCGGGGAGGGCTTTGGTGGCGGTTGTGGTGGGTTTGGGGTTGGAAAGGACATTGGAGAAGGCAAGATGGCGGCTGGGAGTGGGTTTTTGGGGGTTCCAGGAGGATTGGAAGGCAAGACTTGGACTGGGTTTTGGGCGTGAGAGAGGAGAGGGCGATAAGAGGGAAGCGCACCAAACAGTGGCCGCCATGTTTAACGAGCAGAGAGAGAAACGGACGCTTGCAGATATCTCTACAACTCTTTAGGGTTCTATACAGTTGACCCGGACTGTAGCTAGACAATGAAGGAAAAGAAAAATAAAGCTTGCTTGGTTTAGAAGTCTCAAAACTGTTTTCAAGAATAATATGATTTGAGTTTTCTCAAAGGATGAGAATTGAGAAGAGTTTTGAGTTTTTTCAATTAGAAAATATGCTTGGCTATGAAAATTATAAAACAGTAATATGATTGGTTGTATATACTAAAAATAATTTTTTGAAAATTAAAGAAAATTGCATATTACTCTTTAATAACTTTCTGAAAATTAAAGAATATTGCATATTACTCTTTTATTTATTTCTTAAATTATTATAAGTATTGGATCTGCATTGTTGTTATATATTCATAAATTAGCTAGACAATGCTGTCCGTATATATATATTTTTCTTTTATAAGAAATGGAGAGCTGCTTACAGTTACAATTTCATTTGGAGTGTTAGTTTGGTTTGTATCAACCGGCAAGAAAGGAAAAAAACAAAACATTTCACGAAATTCCTCCATAAAATATTAAATTTTTTTAGTTTTTAGTGAAAGTTGTAACATTATATTTTGATTCCTTATCATGTTCTTGTTAGTTGTTTATCTTGGTTGATATATTAGAACTCTGTTATTATGTTACAATTTTATAACTATTTAAATTAAGATTCTTCTCCACATTCAAACAAAAAAAAAAAAAACAAAAAGTAGTGGAGCAAAAGTTTCATTTGACAGATTCTTGAAAATTCATATATCTTTTTTTTCAAAGATATATGGTATATGTTTTTGTAGAAAAATTTTGTGGAAAAATTGGGTGGTTACAATGAAATACGGAAACATACCGACACGGTATCAATTTCGTGTAATATTATGAATTTAAATGTAATAGTTAACATATCCATAAATTAAGAAACAAGTAAATAAAACACAAGATTTCATTAAACATCAAATAAATTTAAAGTCTTAAACCATTCATTATACGAAAAGAAAAAAGAAAAAAGAAGCATTAAATTAAGAAACAAGTAAATAAAACACAAGATTTCATTTCATAACACACTAAACATAAAATAAATTTAAAGTTTTAAGCCATTCATTACACGAAAAATAAAAAAGAAAAAATCCTTTAAATAGTATTCTCGGCCTATTCTAGTCGTATCCAAAAAGTATCCGGCGTATCCTCAGTGTATATCAGTCGTATCCGAAAATTTAAAATAAATTTTAAAAAATCAAAATATTGGACACGTGTTATACCGCCACAGCACCTTCGGGAATGTATCCGTGCTTCCCAGGTTACTTTTTACAAAATTTTCCTTTAATTCCCTGCTATCCCCCAATAAAGTTTTAAAAAATTCATTGCTCTCCCTTTCCAGCTGTTTCGTCTAACCAAACTAAACATTACATCCTCCCATATTCACCTACAATCATTTGCTTATATTTAGTATTTATAACCATAAATCTTATTATTTACTTAAGCAAAAAATTGATTAATCCCCTTCTTAGAAACAAAAACTACCAAATTAATAATATTAATGCAGTTAATATATGAAACATATCAATAGGAATTGCAAAAGTTCTGAAACATATGTTCAGGGCAAAGAATAAATTGTTGGACTGACAATCGGATAAAGGGAGCTGAGCATTACTCTCCGTAACTATTGTTGCAGACCTCATTTATCCTCTTAGAAGGTGGAGAAAAGACATTATCAGATCCTTATTAAATCTGAGGGCAAGGCTGGCCTTGAGATTGAAAAAATCTCGAAATACCTTAGACAGACTTTAAATGTGAAGCCCTTTATACACAAGTGATATGCTTGTCCTATTTTTTTTTTTTTTTTTAGGCCCCTTTTTGCTGCATTTGGTTTGACTTTTTTTTTTTTTTTAATTTTTAGTAGCCCATCATTCTTGAAGCCCCTTGCTGCGGTTATAATTTTTTTTTTTTTTTTGGTGGCCCAACATTCATGGGCCTATAAATTTTGATTTGCTGCATTTGGTTGTAATTTTTTTTTTTTTTTTTTTTTTTTGTGGCCCATCATACATGGACCTATAAGTTTGGAGGCCCCTTATATTCTGAGGCCCTAGGCGACCGCCTTGGTCGCCTTGGGCCAGGGCCGGCCCTGTTTGAGGGACTCAACTCTAATTCTGAAAACTCCCTTGAAATAGTTAGAAAATAATGGTAAGCCGTTTTTCTTGTTTCAAGGGAGTTTGGAAGCGAATGTGAGAGCAAGAGTAGAAAAATGACAAAATCTAAGTCACATATAGTAAGATTGAAAACAAAAACGTGCGCAAAACGTGAGAACGAAAGCACAAAGTATGCTAGTAGCACCCGTTTAGAATAATTATATGACTTGGGTCAAGATTGCCTATCAAGTACACGTCAATCTGTCCAAGCAGCCTACAAATAATAATATGCGACCTAGTCCAAGCATCAATCAAGTATTTAAATCAAAATGGAAAGGCTTGTGGAATCTTAAAATCAAGAAGAAAATTATTATAATTATTTTTTATTTTTGCAATATGGTCATGATAGAA